GGGGGGGGGGGGGGGGGGGGGGGTTAGTTGTACGCAGCATGATGTCCATGTTTAAAACATAGAACGAGTGTTTCCAAATGACTCATGATGAGCGTTGAAAGATGCAGACGGTTTAAAGAGCCATTTTGCTTTATGACTCATGATGAACGAATGTTTAACTACTACTTCACTATAAAAGAAGTGCAGGCGGTTTAAAGAGTCATTTTGCTTTATTCCATCATACCCCAAAGCCAAAAAAAGTTGATCTTTGGCTCAATCGGAAATGGTGGAAAGTTTACCTTGGTGAAGTAGGATTCTTTTTTGGGATGAATATGCCCTACACTATTTAGTATTTACACTTTATCAAGTAGAAGCTAGTCTAACTTGGAGGTATTATGGGAAATAAGATGATTACATTGATTACACTTCCAGGGAACAAGGATTAAACGACATTACAACCCAAGTTTGCTTTGCTACGGCAGAGTTATCAAGCTATTGCTTTGAAGGCTATGTCATTGGAGGTAATGGGACTGCTAAAAGAGATCTATTTGTGACAACATTTCATAAGATGACTTGTGATCCCCCAACACCATTCAAGGGAAGCTTGAGTTTCTCTGCACTTGCTGGCACAAAAAGCAGCAGAGAGAATGATGATGTGTTGGATGAGTTTTCTGAGCTTAATTCTTTTAAAACATCTGGTTCAATCCAAGAAGGCAATGTATACAATGAAAGTGAGTTAGAATCTGAGTCAGATAAATGTGATGAAGATTTGGAAGGACAACAGGGTGAAGTAGGCTTATCCAATACTGAGACTCGTATAGGGGGACAATACAAGGACAAATGTCTTCACCAGAATTATGTAAGGCTCTTTTGGTTGCATCACTAAATTCTGTTTGCCATACCATGGATAAATGGGTTGAACAAGGAAACGAGTTAACCCGGACAGACATACACATGGCCCTGCGTTATCTTCGTCAGCGGAAACTGTATGCCAAGGCCTTGAAGGTAATCATTGTTCTTTTCTTGCTATGTTTTGCAGCTTGGCTCTGAAGGTTGATTCTGTGTGCTATGTTCACTTTTTTTCTTTTTAATAAAAAAAACCATTTCTGCTAAAGTCCTGGCGGCATCAGTCTTCACTTATCACCTTAACTGTTATTTGTTGCTCCTGGCACACTTGCATGTGAGGTCAATTCTTTTTTTAATGCATGATTAAATTTTTTAAGAGTTTAATTGCCATATCTGTCCTGGCATCTTCAGAATCTTCACAGTTCACATGCACTTTTCTACTATTCAATTTGCAACACCATTAAATTTTTGGCTTTGATTTGATCCATAATATTTTATGTTTTCAAAACAGATATGTATATATGTGTGTGTGTGTATGTATATGTATTCTTTAATGTTTGCTCAAGTTAGTCCTAAGAATCAATAGAGTATTTCTCAGTAATTATAAAGAAAGATTTTACTCAAAATTAGTTTGGGTCAACATCCAGGAAGCATAACATGACCGTTTTCCCCCTCTTTGGTGGACAAAGGGAGTATGTATTTAACTTTGACGAGTCTCCCTTTTCTTGATTCACATGATAAATGTCAAGTTCTTTGGCCTTTTCACTATCTGATTATTTCTTTTTGACAGGTATCTGAGTGGTTGGAATCATCAAACCATATTGAGTTAACAGAATTGGATTACTCCGGTCAAGTTGATTTAATCGCTAAAGTCTGTGGTCTACAAGTAGCAGAAGCTCGTATAGAGAAAATTGCAGAACCATTCAGAAGCGAAAGAGTTTATCAGGCTCTCTTGGCAAATTGTGTTTCTACATTCAACATGAGAAAATCAGAAGAGGTGTTCAAGAAAATGACCGACCTCCGGCTCCCAATTTCATGCTTCACTTGCAACCAGCTTCTCCTTCTATACAAGCAGGCAGACAAAAAGAAGATCGCTAATGTACTTTTACTGATGGAAAAAGAAAATGTGAAACCAAACCTATTCACTTATAAAATCTTGATGGTTGTTAAGGGGCAGTGTGATGACATAGCTGGAATGGAAGAAGTTATTGAGAAAATGAAGAATGATGGAGTAGAGCCTGATATTAGTACCAAATGCCTCATTGCCAGGATCTATATCCGTTGTGGTCTCAATGAGAAAGGTGAGGCCATGATGAAAGATATGGAAAGTGACCCAGTGGGAGGAAAATCTTGGGCTTTTACCAATTTGCTACTGCTGTACGCTATCCTTGGGAAGGAGGATGAGGTCAGCAGGATTTGGAAACTATGTGAGCCTAACCCACGCTTAGAACAATGTGCTGCTGCCATCGCAGCATGGGGAAGGCTGAAGAACATTGAGAAGGCAGAAGAAGTGTTTGAAATAATGATAAGCAAATACCCGAACATGTCCCCAAAGAAATATTCTTCTCTGTTAAATGTGTACGCCCATAATAAGATGTTGGCCAAGGGGAAGGACCTCGTGATGCGGATGAGGAAGAACGGTTGCCACATAGGCGTATCGACTTGGAACTCACTTGTGAAGCTTTATATTGTGGCCGGAGAATTGAAAAAAGCTGAAGGCATATTGGCTATGGCATCCAAACAGAAAGGCATGAAGCCACTGCTGACCTCTTACATTGCAATCATCGAGGAATATGCTAAAAAGGGGGATGTCCATAGCTGCGAGGAGATATTCCTGAAAATGAGAAATGGAGGGTTTTTGTCAATTTATTGGCTGTACCAGACGCTTGTTAAAGCGTATGTGAATGCAAATCTTCCTGCATATGGGATGAAAGAGAGGATGAAGGGTGATGGTGTTTTTCCAGGGGGTGTATTGCTTACCTTGTTGCATCGGGTCAATCCGTTACACTATCCGAGTCAGACAACAATATCGAATGTGGTAGAGTGAGGGTGCTTAGAGGCGGACCCACTTAGAGTCCCATGGGGTTCCGGGACCCCCTGGAGCTCATGTAGGGTCTCATATATATTAGGTATTTTGTAGTGATGGTATAAAATGAGCGAAAAGCATTATGTGATACATGGTGTTTGTGCTCTAGTGGTCACCCGCGAGTTTACTTGTGACGGATTGCGTGTTCGATTCTCCATAGCACTGAGCGTCTGAGCTTGTGTGTTTTTTTCTTTTTTACTCCCTAACTTTTAGTGTTCTTTTTATTCCCTCCGTAAACCCTCCCCCCTCCCCCCGACAAAAAAAACATCTTAAATAGGTTAATTAAATTATAACTATTTCATCTAAAAGTGTACGTTTTAACTTTTTTAATATATTCATTCAAAAATAATTATTTATTATTTTTTTTCTCTTTTTAAAAAATGATTTATTTTTCAAGATATGCATTTCTCTTCTAAATATTTCCAAATATACAATTTTCACCTTTTAATAGCGTTTTAAATTTTGTATGTGTAAAATTGTATGTAGTTTCAAAATACAAAATATTTCAGTTCTGATGGTGAATTTTATATTTTTGTTATTGTACGCTTTGTTTACTTAGATTTTGATAATTAAGCTTTAAGAAAGTTGATTGGAGTGAAAATGATACTTATAATTTGAATGATTCTAGGTATCTAAATCCTCTTTTACAACCAAAGTTGTCCATTTTTTGAAACACAAAACATTGGATGAATATTAAAACTATGGATTCTAATCTTTGAAACTTATGTAAAGAAGAATATATATGAATGTGTTTGGAAAGAATTTCGACATTTAGTATTAATATTTTGAAAAAGTAATCTAACGTTAGCCACGGCCGTCTCCATTTAATAAAATTAGTCTAAATCTTTAAGTTTTCCCAAAAGACTAGCACTAAGACCTAGACCATCTTCATTTAAAAAATTTGCAAGAAATCGTTATTGATAACAATTCAGTTTTGTTTATGCTCTAACAAGCCTCCACACGGCTGGACGAAATTTGTATATGCTCGAGTCTTGCATGTGAATATTAATTAATTTTTTAATTGGGTGGTGGTGAGATTTGAACTTGTAAAATCTATGTCAGCAAAACATTTTTTCATGTTAATGAACCAATTCAACCAAATATTTAAGGTTGTAATTGTGAATACTTTAACAATTTTATTTTTTAAGAGTTTTCCAAAGCAAAATTTATGACTATAAAAACCTACTTGATTATTAAATTAGAATGTCATTCAAACAACAAATATTTTTTGTTTTTTTAAAACAAAACTTAATTTGAATAATAAAAATTTAAACTGGGACCCCATCGCTCAAGATTCCTGGATCTGCCTCTATACGGTATCGGATGGTGTTTCACGTACATCCGAGGCGAATACTCATTTTTTAGTAACTGAATTTTCATTTTGACTTTGGAGTCCAAATTGACTCTAAAGTTAAAATTAATTTGAGGGGGTACAATTGAAGGGGGTGGGGGTGCATTCAGGTCTGGGTGGGGTGGGGGTTTACTAGGGGGAGAAGGGGGTTAGGGCATAGGAACCGTCAATTTTACGAACGAGGCACTAGAGCACTCTTAGGTCATCCCATAACATGGAGTTCTAATGTCATTGGAACCCCACCGCAAAACCTAATATGATTACAAATCAACAACCTAGTTGAATCCTACAAGCCTAGATCTGGGGAGGGTGTGTGTATGCAGACCTTGGCCTTACTCGAAACTATGAAGACTTTTCTTAGAGACCCCGGCTCAAGCAACAAAAATAAAAAAAAATATAATACAAAGAATAGTAACAAAAGATCACATGTGATACATAATACATCAGGGAAATCACAAATAAGGTCCAAGGCACACAAAAACAAAGAACAAACTAATGTTAACGAAGATAGAATATTACAAACTGAGAGTACCAAGCATATATGGCACTCAAAGAACACAAGTCCAGAAAACTACCACCTAGCCCAACGAATTTACCCAACTACTCAACTCTATCTCTTCAAACGCTTTTATCTAAGGTCATATCTATCTTTCAAACATCTACGCTTACACTAATGAGCTAGTATAGAGTATTAAGTAGATTATAACTTTTAATAACAACTCATTACAATATTAAATAAAGAGAGTTATACTACCAATTTTTTGATGAAAAAAATCACTATAGTATCTAAAAAAGGAAAAGAGAAAATATTTTTTACCAATGGAGTTAGTAATGATAACCTTGATAGTAATAAGTGACACACAAAGATGTGAGTAGGATATAAGCGACACACCACTATATATGGTATAAAGATTTTAAAGTACAACAGACTCGTAACTTGAAAGACAAAAGTAATACCATAAAGTAAATGGTAAAGTTCACGATTGGAACTAATTATCATGGCAATATGATACTTGCTTACCTAATATTCCCTATTTATATGGTTTACCCATACTCAGTTAATATATTTTTTAATGCTAATGACTCTATTACAATATAGTTTCATACTATTTTCAATTTCATAATGCAAAAAGAGTCAATGCTTCACCTCTGCTAGGGCTCGAACCTGGGTAAACTTTCTCATTAATCTTGGAGAATGAGCTTCCTATTACCCAAGCTAGGAGAAAAGTTCTTTAGTGAATATTTTTAGCAATATGAATTTTCCTAGTTCTTTTTAGAATAATGTTAGTCTTGAATCTTCTTATGAATTAAATTCATTTCTATATTTATTTAGCTATTCATTTATAAATTTCAAATTTTATTCCTAAGTATGAATATGTTTGAGTTTATAAAATTTCTATGTGTTCATCGACTAATGTATTGTCCAGATTTATGAATGTACCCATTGACTAATAGAATGACAAGTACCTTATTATACCTATTGAAACTATCTAAATCATTTTAGTTGTGTTATTTCATTTATTTATACTCTCAAAGAAATGGATTACTTGATTTTTATTGTATATCAAAAGTAATTGACTGCTACTGATACACATGCAAAATAATGGTCTCATTTCAATCACATCTAAAAGAAGTTAGATGGTAATTATGATATTTACTATACACAAAAACATATATGCTCTCATCACGTAATAAGGTAACTTTTGCGTGTAGCTACTCATTTGTGTGTGATCCAATACTATAGAACCAATTTTATGCATACCGTTTTTTGTAGAATTAAAAAGATAAACGTAAGTGCATCAAAAATAAAAGAGAGAAGGCAAAGAACACATCGATGTATAGTGTTCACTACCTCATGGCTAGTCTAGTTCCCCGAGATCAGAGACTCTCTCGAAACTACCACTACTCTCGTTAAGCTTACGGGTGCTTAACAAACCGTTACAACCAGAGAACTTGAAATTCACAAGCCTCAATACAACTGCTCGTAGATGTGCCATCTACAACATTTCACAATCAAAACTTAAGTCACATAAGACTTGTACAATGAGAAGAACAATCTTCTTCAACCTCTCAACATAAACTCTCACAAGAGTAAAAATGAGAAAATCTTTAGCTCTAATGAATAACAAGAACACTCTCTTGAAAACAAATTGTTTTCTCTCAAAATATATAAATTTGAGGAAGAATTGAATAAAAGATTATAACCTCAAGATAGGGGAGTTTTGGAGTGCTTGTTCATAGTAAAAATGACCAAGGAATGGTGTATACAAGGGAGTGGAAGAAATATACCCGTTGGAGCTAAGAACAAAGAGTTTGCTAAAAATCTAGAGTAAAAAATCGATTTCTAAGTGAGTGAAAATCGATTATTTGTTTCAGCTCCCAGTGATAGTCGATTATCAGATTCTGATAATCGATTATTGGCTTTCTCAGTTGATCAAAACCAACTTCTACAAGCCTTCATAGTCGATTATCACATTCTGATAATCGATTATCAAGCAGCCCTGAAAGGGTAATTGATTTTTTCAAAGTAAAAATTGATTTTCAAAGCAATAATGCCCAAACATGAAGGACACAATCATGTGTGCGAGGTGAAGTGCTCATTTGGAATTTAGAACTTGTTTTGGGTATTAAAATCAGATCAATGGGCTCCAAATCTTCAAATATACTCCCTCCGTCAATAATTAAAGTTCCCACTTTCCTTTTTTGGATGTCCACAATTAAAGTTCCCATTTCTATTTTTGGCAACTTCCTTTTATTAAAAATACTCAATTAACCTTCTCTATCTTTTACTTTTGGATTATGCTATGTGTACCCCAAGAGTTGTATCCCAATTTGTACCCCGCAGTTCTGCACCAACACTTTCTGTTAGTGTAAAACTATTTTTTGTTAAATGCACCAACATTTGTGTCTGTGTGAATTTTTATTAACGCACCAACACTTGTGTCGGTGTAAACCATCGAAATGTTTGTGCAAACTTGTGGTGTACAAATGGGGTATATTTTATGGTGTAAGTGTAGCATGGTTCTTTACTTTTCCTCTCCTTTCCTATCCTCTCCCTTTTGTCATTACTAGACTCGAACCCGTGCGTTGCACGGCCTAATTATAAATTATATAATTAGGAGAAGCATTGATATAATTAAGAGATTAATTTGGTTATACTAAAGATACATAATATACATTAAAGATAATGCGTTTTACAGCAATGCATAATGAGGGAAAATACAACTATAAGTTTTGGAAAACTTCTTTGTAGACGACATTTGCTGTTTTGTTCGCTGATTCAGGATCTTCACTAACAATCAAAATCTTTAATCCACTGCGATTAGTGACTCGTGATAATGCCACGTAAAGTTGTCCATGACTGAACACAGGTTTCTTTAGTAACAGCCCAACATGCGTCAATGATTGTCCCTGACTTTTATTAATCGTCATAGCATAAGATATCATAATCGGAAACTGTTTTCTTTGAAATTTAAAGGGAATTCTTGTATCCGACGGTGTAAGCAACAATCGGGGGATAACAACTTCTTGGCCAATATTTTTCCCTGTCAAGACTTTGCCTTGAATTAGATGATTGCCAAGTCGTGTAACGATCAACCTTGTTCCATTGAACAAACCTGAAGACTGGTCTATATTCCTCAGCAACATCACAGGTGTCCCAATCTTTAACTTCAATTCATGGTTTGGGATCCCAGAAGCTCGGATGTTATTTAAAAATTCAGGAGAATGCATGTCGCTTAAGAAATCCGAATTTGAATCAGATTTACACACCACATCTGAACTCAAGTAACTTTTAGCTTCGCCTATTTGGTTCAATGAGGTCATGTATTCATTG